AAAAAATAACCTTTACTTCAATAGAAATTGCTAAGGCAACCTAAAATGTAAACATGTTCTGCCCAATGCCTCCTAGCTATTGCTTAAAGATATAAAAATAAATCAGACCCTGAGACTTATCAGAGGGAATCTGAATATTGCTTGAGGTGGTTCTTTCTTAATCGCCGGCCCAGGACATCTCCCCTTCTTACCCTACATCGACATCGACTGCAGCTGGTCTGTGGCATGTAAGAAGTGTTTTGTTCTTGGAAGCCTTATCGGCACATGTCCAACATCAAAATTTTTCATGTAATGTGAACACTGCATGTCATTATGAACATCTTTTCCTGTATTACCAAAGGTTTCAATGACATATACTTCTCCTTCCTCCATTCTCATTGCCTTCCTATCCTTCATGATGCCCATGGTTTTCTCCACGTGTATTCTGTACAGCCCAAAGGAATGTCCATTCAGATTATGGACTGGCTTCACTTGTTGTCCTCCCATCTATTTTAACTTCTTGGATGGCCTCCCCAATGTCACACAATCGAACATCAATGCCAGCACACTTTATTCCAGTATTAGTGCCGTCTTTTATAGCTTGTAATAACATATCATATTTGCAATTAAAAGTGACAATAAAAAGTCAATATTACTATCACTTATATGTGTTCCAAAGTCAATCTTACAGATGTCATCGCACTGTAACACTGCTGTCACCTGCATTGGGAATAGAGTGGGCAGCACAGTTCCTGGGAGAATACCTAGTGGGAAAGGTCAAGCCTGCGTTTAAGCTATTCTCTTTTATAAGCTTGTGTCAACAGTCCTCCAATCTCTCACAGATTTCTATCATCATCATCCCAGGCTCGATCCAGCTCGTAACGTATTTTCTAACTTGTCGATGTTCTAACTTGTCAAGAAGCTTTCGTAGCTTCTTGAAAATCATTCCAAATCTCTTCTTAGTTTGATCTAATGCTTTCTTCACTTGTAGTTCTTCAAGCAGCTGTTTGCAGGTCTTGTGTGGGTAGGCACTCGCATTCCTGTCCTTTGGGGAACACAGGATACAGGTCACATATCAGAACCTCAGGAGGGTCTGTTTGAACTTTTGGTCTTCTCTACTTTTTCTTCTTTCCATTCCCATCATCCTCCCCATCACCACCACCATCATCATCATCATCATCATCACGATCTCTTTCTCTTCCAGTAGTTGTCTTTCCAACTGTTTTGGTACCTCATCCACAGAGGCTCCTGATTCTTCATTAGGTTCCTGCTGACCTGCAACAGCTCTTTTACTCTTCTTTGGTCTCTTTTCTTAGCTGCTTCCTCAGCCATAGCAGCAGCTCCCTCTCCCCTGTCATCTGGGTGCAGATCACCATTCAGGTGGCTCCCTGAGGCTGCTGCCTCCTCCATGTGCACCATGATACCTGAGAAAGCGAGAGGGAGGCAGAGCTGGAAGGGCCTGCTCCCTCTTTACCACCTCCAGGCCTTCTATTTTGTTTGTTTTTTGGTACTGGGGATCGAACTCAGGACCTTCTGCTTTCGAGGCAGGCAAGGTGCCACTGAGCTAAATCCCCAGCCTGGTCTTCTATTTTTGTTTTGTTTTTGGTACCAGAGATCGAACTCAGGTCTTTGCACTTGCGAGGCAGGAGGTGGAACCACTGAGCTAAATCCCCCACCGACCTTCTATTTTCTTAAAGACAGATGAAGCAATGCTTACATTCTGAAGCATTATTTTACTTTTATTCTCTTATTTACTATTTTAACCAATTTGCATTTACTGTGCAATACAAACATTCAGTCCAAAAAGAAAAATTTTCTTCTCTAAAACTTCAAATTAGAAAATAATTAAGGACCTAAGAGACATTTAGGTTCAAATATAAAGGTTTTATACAGAGAATAATTTATGGTACAGGGTGCAAGTAACAGCAAAAAGGTCACACAAAATAAAGAGGAGGATGAAATCTGAATAGGGCTTGAAGGACCGGAGCATCTGGATCTGTCAGAGAATAGGAAAGCCAGGAAAGGCAGTATACGCATCAATTTCGGTAAAAAGTTCTTTCACATCAGAAAGTACCAATAAATTTTCACAGTTCATAAGAAGGCAAGTTGCTACTGATATGAAAGCAAATCCAAAGGAAGATGACAGTTCTACACATGTATTCCTTTTTTACTTTCTCTCAATGGGGTTTTGAGAGCAATATTTTCTTTACATTCATGTTGAAAAGCCTTTGAAGGATCAAAGCGTCTGACACCCAGAACTTTATTCAGTTCCTCCTGAAGTTTCATCTCATTTTGTTTCTTTTTAGCAAGCTGTGATCGGAGTTTTGACACTTCCTAGGTGAGAAAAATATGGATAATAAACAATTATTAAAGATCACCTTGGTGAAATGTGTTACCAACATTGCAGGTTAATTCTAAAGTTGCTTTATGTGTCATACCTAATGCCAAAAACTATTACATGCACGCTTTAACACTAGATGAGAGGAGATAAAATCTTTTAAATTTTATCACCTCTCTACAGCTATTTTTCTGATAAAAGTTCAACTCAAAATTAATTGCTGAGCTGGGTGTGGTGGTACACGCCTGTAATTCCAGTACTCATCAGGCTGAGGCAGGAGGATTGCCATAGAGTCATAGGACAGCCTGGGCTACACAGTGAGTTCAAGTTCAACCTGAATTACATAATGAGACCCTGTCTCAAACAACAAAAAAACAAATAACAACAACAAAAAGTTGCTGAAATCAGCTTTTGGTGTAGTAGCATGAAGGCTCCATGACCCACTTCCCAGTGAAACTAAAAACGATAAAATGGAAACCGGACAAAGCCTCTGAAAATAATCCTAGGGACAAAAGAGCAAATGAAGGAGCATTTTTAAAGAAAATCAGTACAAAAAAAAAAAAAAGAAAGAAAATCAGCACAAATTTTAAAGGAAAGATGAAAACCTGTGGCATTTGAACCAAAACTCCCTCCTTCCCCACTTCTAGCAGAGACTCATGCCCAGCTTCTGTAGCCAAGAACAAAAGCCTCCCTCTTCCCTCACCTTCCCAGGAGGAGGAAGAGGGCATCAGTTATTCTGTTGTGGAGGCTATATCCTGGGCATCTGCTGTTGAGAGGAGGGGGATCCCTTTCTTCATTCAGTCCCACCTGTAGAAGAGGAGCTCTGCCTTGGGCAGTGTGCTGAAAATGCCAGGGCCCTCATCACCGTTGCTCTGGCTCATGAGGCAGTGGTTTCATGCCAGGAGAGGCAAGCCAAGGGAACCTACCATCCCTCATCCTCTTTCCTTATAGTCCCACTGAAAACTCAGTTCCAAGGGCATAGGTGGCACTCAGAAAGAAGTCTGCCACTGTCCCTAATTCCAGCTACAGAATCTTATTCTGAAGAGTCTGTCTGAGGGAAGAGCAGGCCACAAAACACGGAGCTTTGAATTTCCTCCCAAATCAACTGACTTCATTTACAATAGAGCTTGGAGAAGTTGAAACATAAGGGTGCACTAAAGAACAGTGGTGTGGTTGTGGCAAAAGGAACATGGGACGTGACTCAAAAGGTGAGCTAAAATGCAGGCTGGCTTGTTCACAGGACAGAACTGGGGAAGAGACAGCCGGAAGGAGGAGCCTTCTTAGAGTCAAAACAAATCCCAAGTACTGATCTCAGATATGACTACTACAAATGAGCAAGAATTTGGCTGAATTAATTTGTAGAGCAATTTATGCCCCTAAGGCACTGTTAAAAAATAAAACAGAGTCAGCAACCAGTGAAATTGGTATCCAGGCGATAAGCAAAAGAGAAGACAGATGTGCTGGTTAATCTTGATCATCAACTTGACTGATTAAGAGACTCCTCCAGAGTCATTATATTGTGAAGGCAATAACCTCATCAATGGATTAATCTATGGAGGAATTCATAGCTGAATAGGTTTTTAGGAGGTGGGCCCATTTGGAGGAAGTGTGCCATGGGGACATGACCATGGGGACATGATGGAGGGCCATGGGGACATGATGTCTCAGAAATAGAAAGGTAACTACTAAAATAGCCTTACCAAGCCTGACTTTGAGCATACCCCTGAACTGCACCTCCCTAAGCAGCAAAATCAGAGGCACAGTACTGCTGGGAAGCAGAGGTTGTGTTCATTAGTGTTTCAGTCACTGGGGCAAAATACCTGAGAAACTCAGCTTAAAGGAAGGAAGATGGGGCCAGGGATTTAGCTCAGTGGTTCCGCTGCCTGCCTTGCAAGTGGAAGGTCCTGAATTCAATCCCGGGTACCAAAAAAACCAACCAACCAACCAACCAAACAAACAAACAAAAAGGAAGGAAGACGTATTTCAGCTCAGAGTTTTAGTCCATGGTTAGTTTGCTCTTTTTTTTCTAGGTTTGAGGTGAGGCAGAATTTCATGGCAGGAAGAATATGGAGGCAAAGGTGTTCACCCCATGGCAGCCAGGAGACAAAGACAGAGAAGGGACTGGGGTCTGAATCTCCCCTTCAAGGTCATATCCCCAGTGACCTCACTTTCTCCCTTTAGGTCCCTTGTCTTAAGGTTCCATCAGCTAGGGGCCAAACCTTCAAGACATGAACCTCTGGGGCACATTTAAGATTCAAACCTTAACATCAGGGACAGTAGAACAGACTTAATCAAGCTAATACTAATCAAATTGGCAAGCAAATAACAGGAAGCCCAGAAGTGCTAAAACCCTTTCGTTTGCAAACAATTTGGTTGGCAAACAGTAGCATGTGGCAAAATTTTGTTTTTCTTTGTGAACTCTGCATTGGGTGACAAACACGACCGAGGCCTTCTTTCCCACACGAACACAGATGTTGACATGTTTTCCAGAACTGTGGAGCAAATTAAGCTTGTGAAGCAAGGTACCATTGTATTATCTCAATTATAACATATGTCAGGAAAAAAAAGCAGGCACAAAAATGGCCTGTGAGAGTAATCATGTTTGACAAACTCACTATACTAGATTTAGAATGAAACCGATGATATCATTACTGAACTTAAAAAATGAAAAGGATTATAAAGAAATTCTGTGAACTATATCCCAACAAATTAGATAACTTAGTCAAAACTGACAATTTTTTGGAAAGACATAAGCTACCAAAAGTGACTCAAGAAAAAAAAAAAATCTATAATGAGTGAAGATACTGAATTCAAAATCAAGTAATTTCCACAAAGAAAAACCCAAATCTAAAAGCTGGGGGTGGAGGGCAGTGCTGAGTGTCAAACCCAAGGCAGCATGCATGCTAGGGAAGAGCTTTTCCATGGAGCCACATCCTAGAGCCCAGGCTGAGATGGCTTCATTTATGAATTCTACCACACATTCAATGATTAGCAGACTTAGCACAGTTAAGATGGCAATGTGCTTCAAACTGATTTACAGATTCAATGCAATTCCTAACAAATCCAAACTAGTTTCTTTGTAGAAACTGAAAAGTTGATTCTATAATTCATATAGAATTACAAGAGATCCAGTATAGACAAAATAATCTTAGGAAGAAAAATTAACTAGAACTCATACTGCCTGATTTCGAAATGTTCTACAAAACAATAGTAATAAGATACTGTGGCACCAGGACAGATGTACAGAGGAAAAGAAAACAACAGAATGTCTAGAAATTGAGCCATACATATGGTCAATTGACTTTCAAGAACAGTGCCAAATGTCATTCACTAAGGAAAAGAATAGTCTCTTTAAAAAATGGTTTGTAGGCAACTCACACATACTAAAGAATGAAATTAAACCCTTACTTCACACTAACTGCAAAAATTAACTCAAAATGGATCCATAACCTAAATGTAAGACCTAAAACTATAAACCTTTTCGAAGAAAATACAGCGGTAAGTCTTCATAACATTGGATTTGGCACATAATTCTTAGATAGCAAACAATAAGTAACAAGGAAATGCAAACACTAGACTTCATCAAAATTTTGTACTTCACAGGACATCATCAAAAAATGAGAAGACAACTTATAGAATGGGAGAAAATAATTGCAAATAATACATCATAAGACAGTTGTATCCAAAATTCATATTCTCACAATTCAAGGACCAATAATCCAGTTAAAAATTTGACAAAGTATCTAAATAGATCTTTCTTGCAGGAATATATACAAAAGGCCAACAACCATATAAAGAGATGATCAACATTATCAAATATTGGGGAAATACAAGTCAAAATCACAATAAAATACCACTTTACACCCACTAGAATGGCTAAAATCAGAAAATAAGGGAATATCAAATGTTGGTGAATATATAGAAAAATTGGAACTCCTAATTAAATACTTTGGATGGAATATAGAATGACACAGTCATTTTTGAAGATAGTTCCTAAAAAGAATAACCACAATTCAGCAATTTCACTTCTATGTATCCCCCCCACCGCAAAAAAATGTGTCTATGTGAGACGTGTACATAAATGTTTCTAGTAACATTCTTTGTAACAGACATAAGGTAGAAACAATGCAAATATCTATTAACTGTTGAGTAGATGAATAAAATGTTAATTTACACAATGACTTATCATTAGACCATAAAAAAGGAATGATGTACTCATACATGTTACAACTTGGATGAACTCTGAAGATATTATTCTAATTTAAAGAGTCAAGATATTACATATTATTTGATTCCACAAACATAAAATATTTAAAATAGGGACATCTATAAAGATAGAAAGTAGATTTGTGGTTGCTTAGAAGAGTGGGGTAGAATGAAGTGATAGGAGGATGATAACACAGGATTTAATTCCAAGGTGATGAAAATATTCTCAAGTTCACCATGGTATCTGGGCATGGTGGTGCACATTTATAATCCCTGCATTGAGGAGGCTGAGGCAGAAGGATCTAAGCAAGTTAAAGCCAGCCTGAACTACATAGTGAGACCTGCCTCAAAAACAAAACAAAACAAAACAAAATAGAGTCCACTGTGGTGACAGTTACACACATCTGTGAATATACTAAAAAAGTCACCGAACTGTACACTTTAAATAGGTGATTGTATGGGATGTAAATAACATCTCAATAAACTTGTTAAAAATTTAAACGCTATTTTGAACACTTCTTGTCTTCATGTTATCAAGGAATTTGCTATTTAGCAAAGAAAAATTGATGTGTAAAGTGTTATAAATTCTTCCAATTATAACATTTACTTACTGTAAAATTTTTTTGATTTTTTGAAACAGGGTCTCACTATGTAGTCCAGGCTGGTCTTAAACTCACCTCAGCTTCCTGAGTGCTGGAATTATAGGTATGCACAACCATGCCTGCCTGTCACAGTAATTTTCTACACACTGTAGTTGGAAAACCTGAGAACACTGAATACCCATCTAGTCAGCACTAAAACAAATCCTTTAATCTCAGATGAATTTTCCTTTATAAACTATTTTGATACTGAAGACTTACTACATTTAAATATAAATACATAGAATAATAAGGCCATCACCCCAGTACCTAAAAAACCCAAATATTATTTTACAAACCGATTTGAGTTGGCTATTTTCATCTTTCAATTTCACAACATGCTTGATTTTTTGCTTGAGATTTTGATGACCCAATAATTCAGCATATGAATCTCTTATTTTATTTAGTTGTTCCTGAGTTGCACCATGTTCATTCAACAAGGCCAGTTTCTCTGCTTCAAAGGCATCTAGTTGTTGCTGGAAAAGATGTTTGTTTTTATGAGGCTGAGACTTTCAAAACTGTTAAATCTTACTAATTTTTTATGCAGCATTAAAAAATAACTAAAGAAAAATTTGAAACCAAACAAAAACAGAATATGCTTACTTATTTTCAAGGCTCTCCACAGACTCTCTAAGTAAATCTTTCAAACTTTGCATTTTTCACTTGAAAGATCATTAAAACAGAAAAAGAAATAAGGAAAGAAAGCCAGTGAGGCAGCTTTATCTGGATCAGCCGGATCATCATGATACAGACAGATAAATTAGGTAGAAATATTGTAGGTAGTCATACAGGGCTAGGCCCTTGAGAGTCACAACAAAACTGGCTGGAGGCATGCATCCACTGAATGCTAAGCCTCAAGATAAAGATGAAATGCCTATATAACTTTGAAGGATAAACAGAAGCTGGAGTACTACCCTTTTGAGATCTATAAACCAAACATAATTTCATTAAGTGGGCCATCTTTTCCCACCCACTAAGACTAAGACTACTAAGGCAAAGACTAAAAGTATGGATTATCAATCAAGGTTAATGATGTCATCCATGTATGCTTGCTACATGACTTGCTTCCTCATTGGATCAATATTACCTAAGTGACTATCCTTGTAATGTTACTGGTTGATCATAGTTTTGTCCCATTTTGAACCTACCCCTTGATTTTGCTCTATAAAATCTCCCCTAGAAGCGGAGTCTATGGCAACCCACCTTCCGGAACCTCTCCTGTCTCTCTCAGGAGCTGTTTCTCTCTCAATAAAATTTCCTATTCTTGACCTCTGACGTTCCTCAGAATTCATTCTTCCATTTTGGGGAACACAAACTCGGTGTATGGAACATCCAGTAGGTTTGGGAGTTACATCTATTTCCCCTACATCAATCACATTTTGAATATGTCCATCTACTCAATTTAAGTGCCCAAATTAGCATTTATCCTTTTCCTTCTAAAAAGATCACTGTATTACTTTGAGAAATACTAAAACAGATCATAACAAGATGCATATCATCTTGTAAGAAATCAATTATCAGAAATTCCTGTTAGGAGAGCCTTCTGAAATGTCAACTTTAAGTTTTTTATTAGAAAGCTTTTTTAATCTACAAAAGCTATATTAAAAATTTATGGGGGCCAGGGATTTAGCTCAGTGGTTTTGCTGCTTGCTGTGCAAGCACAAGGACCCAAGTTCGATCCCTGGTACTAAAAAAAAAAAAAAAATTTATTTGTAAAGCATATCTCAATATAGCCAGAAAAATTTATGTATAATAAAATTTATAAGACTTTCATAGGAAGTTAAATTGGAATTGTAAATACAAAACAAAGTAATCCTGAAAAAAAAAAATCCCTGATTGTAACAGGGAACAAAATGAATTCCTAAAATAAACACAAGTTAAATTTAATTTTAAGTGACAAACCTGAAAAGGTTTTGTTTTATTATATAGTTCTTCATAAAGGAGACGCCATTTATTAACTTCTTCAGTTAATTCTGCCACTATATTTTCTTTCTCAGCTTTTCTGTATGGGAAAATTAAATCGAAGAACAATTAGAAAATTATTTTTTCTTAGTTTATTAGAAAACAAAGGTTCCAAATCTATATTACCTTGCTTCTTCTTCTTCTTCTTGTATCCTAAAGTCTTCATCTTGTTGTTTGAGTTGGTTCTGCAAATCAGTTATTTTTTTAAGAGAAGAAACTGTGATTTCTTTAATTTCTGCTTCTTTCAATACTGACTTGTTCTGCAGATCTTGAAGCATCCTTAGGTTTGAGATAGAAGAAGCAACTAAATATTTTATAGCTATTTTAATTATTTGTTTCCTTTTCTATTTAAAAATAAAACAAATCACCCCAAGGACTTATTTAAGAACTATAATTTTTTAAATGAGTAAATTCACAAATTTGCAATTTAAGATGGCCAAAAACAAGAGCAAGCCACAGGATGATTCCTTCATCACTCACTAGCTTGCTTTCAACATTCCACTGTCTTTTTTTTTTTTTTTTGGTACCAGGGATTGAACTCGGAACCTTGCGCTTGAGAGGCAGGTGGCAGAACCACCGAGCTAAATCCCAGGCCCAGCACTCCACTGTCTTAATGTTGTGAAGGCTGCAGATGTGGGGGGGGCTTTCTTAGTTCCACATACCTCTCATATTCTTGATTTGTGCTCTCAGTTTTTGATATTTGATGTTGAACATCCTCTGTGTTTTTTTCAGCTTTGGCCACTTTTTCCTGTAGTGATGCATTCTCCAGCTTAAGATCATCTATTTCACTAGTTATTAATGCTTTATAGCTTATTAAAAAGAAAAAAAGGGTATTTTTCTAACTACTATATAAATAACAAATACATAGCTGATCACTTTACATTTTATACACTTTTTGGTAAAACAAACATATTCATGCACACACAGGTAAGAATTTGGTGTTTTAAAGTAAGAACTAATGAATTTACATGGCATTTTTGTACATTTAAAGAAAAAAAATCAAGTAATATTAGGTGAAAGTATGCATAAGAGATGAAGAAAAGTCAATCACCAAACATGAGTACTACTGCACAACAAAACAAATACACAACCTGCAATCTCTGAATCTACTGTCACAGTTTATGATCCTAAAGGGAAGATGGGAAATGCCTGTTACTCTTCATAAAAATCGGATAAACATAAAATTAAATTTGTAATAAATGTTACGAAAGGAAAGTACAAAGAACTTTAAGCTGATAGAATAGCAGTGGTGGAGAAACTATCATGGCTCCTGTGTTGTTTTTCTTTTAAGACAAAAGATGTTAATGTATAAGTTGGTTTTCTAAACGTTTTTAAAACCTCAGTATTCAGGTTGCAATGTTGGCACTCTGTGATAAATAAGTGGGCACTCACCTCTAAGACGGTTTGCCATCACTGGAATAGAAGAATCTACATTTTGATTAGTGATGTACAAAAGGCCCTTTTGAGAAAATGATCATCAACCTGAGTGGTGATGGGTAAAGAGCTAGGCAGTTAGCAGAAAGTAGTTCAGAGGATAAAGATGACAGGAGCTTAGAGTCAGTCAAAACAAAGTCCTCTAAGAGGTGAGACTAGAGCCTAATGAGTAAGACAGGCAGGAGAAGCTCAAGGCACAGGGCAGATCATCACAGCAGGGTACAATGGGCACCGAGTAAAGGAGAGCCATTAAAAGTCTCTTAAGTAAGTATGTGGATCACTCCAGAGATAGGAGTTTAGATTGTGGAAGTGGCTGGAATAGAAAATTAGAAGATCAATAGGAAGATAATCATCAGCCTAGTAGGCAATAAAAAAGGCTTCAACTGAAGAGTTGGCAACAGAAAGCAAGATGTGAGATCTTTTTTGCAGGCAGAACAGAAAAATGTTGCAGGTAGGAGAGAGAAAACGATCAAAGGGGAGTCTAAATTTTTTTTTTCTATGAAATTTGATTTTTCACTTCCTGTTTTTTTTTTTCAGTAAGTTTATTGGTACAGCCGAGGATTTAGCTCAGTGATTCCACCACCTGCCTTGAAAGTGCAAGGTCCCAAGTTTGATCCCAGGTACAAAAAAAAAGTTTATTGGTACAGGTGCGTCTAAATTTATGGAATGACAAGCTGGGAACACAAAGATGTCACTGACTTTGATAGAAAATGACAATAAAAAACAATTAAAAAAATGAGTTATTTTGGACAGGTTAATGTTAGGTTATAATGAGGTATCTACTTGAAGATATTGAGAAAGTAGCGGGTTATACTAGAATTCAGCTAAAAAGGGCTGCTTTAGAGAAATACATTTTAATGCTGTTAGCACACAGTGAGTGAAATTACACAATAGAAAAAAGTATCTGGAAGCACTATTTTTCAAACCAGTGAAAATGGAAATTCCTTTAGAGGATTGAGATAAGCACTAAGTATATATCTCTCACTATATAATTTACATATATGTTGAGACAATAATTTTAAGTGAAATATAAGCAAATATGAATTATCTTTCTGCCATAATATATCATATATAGGAACAGAGCAATAGGGAAAGAAGGCACTATTAATGAACAGGTGGTAGGAACTGGGAAAAGCAGAAACAGATTTAATCTCTATTTATATATAAATTAGTTTTAGATGGAAAAAATGAAAAGTGAAACTCTCACAAGAAAAAGAGGTGAATATGTTCTTAGGATAGAAATTAATTCTTGTAGGAGGTAAAGATATACTGTATATATTTAATCACATTAAAATAAATAATTTCCACCCACGAGAAGAAACCATAAAAGAAAATAAAAAGGCAAGCCACACCATGAGAGAAGATAGTCACAATCCATAATACTGTCAATTAACCATAACATAAAATCATTTTAGTACACTGTTGAAATTAAAAAGATTTATGCTTTGGTGAGGGAGTGAACTAGTGAGAGAAAGAATCTAAAAATCCAAAGTAAGAACTGACACATCAACTGTGGTATATTTATACAATAAAATATTCACAGTAGCAACCATGAGCAAACAATAGCCTTGGCCAAAAATGTAATTCGATCTTACGAAAATACAACATACAGAGTGAAAAGGGAAGGACATTTTCTGGTGATGCTCAGAAGGAAGCAAAATTAGATATTGTAATATTTACATGGATGCTATAATTCATAAGAAAAAATTTGACAAAACAATAAATGGAGGCTTCAAAATAGTGCTATCTGTTCAAGGACAGTACTGAGATAGAACTTCCCCAAATCATCTAAAGCAAATAAAAATACTGACATTAATAAATTCAGTGTGAGATGTAGAAGTATGTTATCTTTTGCAATTAAACTTTGTTTTTAAAAAAGAGAAAATAACAGGGCTGGGGATTTAGCTCAGTGGTTCCGCCACTTGCCTTGCAAGCACAAGGTCCTGAGTTTGATCCCCAGTATCAAAAAAAAAAAAAAAGAGAGAGAAAATAACAAATAGATGGGATAGGACTGAGTAAGTACATACAGAATTGAATTTTGAAAAAAAAAAAAGAGAAAATAACAAATAGATGGGATAGGACTGAATAAGTACATACAGAATTGAATTTTGAAAAAAAAAAAAGAATTGAATTTTCCATTACGAATGGTTTTGGGAATGAGTGAGTAATGCTAGACAGCTTCAGAAGAAGGTGTAAGAAAAGACTTTTTTTTAAATTTATGCATTTTAAAGATGACTGGACAGTAACATGCATTCACACTATTGGAAAAACTCCAGTAGAAAGTTTGAAAATCATAAGCGACAAGGAACAAACAACAGAAAGTTCACTGAAAGTTAAAAGACAAAGAAATTGTCTACTTGGTAGAGAATACAAACATGGGCTTTTTAAGTTTGGAGATGAGATAAAAGCTTTTCAATTCTTTAAGCAAAATGATGACATCAAGAAAAGAATTGTCAAAAGTCTGTGAACACATAAAATTTGACTTGGAAGCAGGAAATGGAAATGGCTATATAAGTATGGTAAGATTCCAAGGTTACACTAAATCCCTTTCATTGCTGTTCGTTATGGAATTTAAAGTAACACCAGTCATCCTCTGGGTAACTGCTCTGGTCACATGTTTCTATAGGAAAGTATTTTTCCCAGCTTAACATTAGATTTGATGGTGGATGCTCTCAAGAAAAATACCTTTCAAATTTAGCAGTAACATCTCCAAGGTTTTGCACTGTATTATTATACTTTTCCTGCAAAATCAGGATAGCCTGAATGTGAGCAGTATGGCTGTTCTCCAGTTCAGCTTCTTTCCTTAAAAAAAACAAAACCCAAATTACAAGATACATAACTATAATTACTCTAAGAAAGCCAATACATAGAGATACGCATCTCTGCATTAACTGCTGCATCGTTTTGAACCAAGTTCATAACCTAACTCTCACAGCATGTTTACTTTTCAAGGTAGTAATTTATCTATTAGCTTTATTATTACTGCTGTTATTGTCCTTTTGTTTTCATCCAAGTTTACTTATCACTAAATTTATCTCTCTTTTTTTTTCCGGTACGGGGGATCGAACTCGGGACCTTGCACTTGCGAGGCAGGCGCCAGAACCACTGAGCTAAATCCCCGGCCCTATCTCTTTATATTGTATGCATTTATGTAGGTTGTTTAAAAATGTGCGGGGTGAGCTGGGGATTTAGCTCAGTGGCACTGCTCCTGCCTCGAAATGGAAATCTCCCGAGTTCAATCCCCAGTACTAAAAAAAAAAAAAAGTAGCTTAAAAATGTGGGGGGAAACTGGGTATGGCAGTACACATTTTTAATCCTATAACCCTGGGAAGCTAAGGCAGGACAATCCCAAATTCTGGCCACACCCAGGCAATTTACCAACCTTATGTCTCAAATTTAAAAATTAAAAAAACCCCAAGCAAAGTGGGGGGGTATCCTGGGGTTATAGGTCAGTGACAAGTTCCTGGATTAAATCTCCAGGACTGCAATCAAACAAAATTGTATAGCATCAGCCAAGACTCAAGAATGTAGTTCAGGGCCTGGGATTTAGCTCAGTGGTTCCACTGCCTGCCTTGAAAGTGCGAGGTCCCGAGTTCCATTCCTGGAACCAAAAAAAAAAAAAAAAGAAAAAGAATGTAGTTCAAAAGTACCTGGATTTAATAAAAGTTTAATTCTCTGTTTTTAGGCAATAAACATGAAGCACAGTTAAAGACATTTCAGTTTAAAAGTTCTTTTGGAAAAGGTTGCTGGACTATATATATGGATTTATTCTGATTATCCTAACCTACATAATACATTGTTATTTAAAGATACAATAATTTCTTGTTTTACTGTTTTTGTTACAACTTCTTTAATGTATTATTTTTTTGACAAAATAGGTTTTGTCACATTTATAAATATTTGAAATATTCAAAATCATGACAGAATTTTACATTATAAAATTATATATAATTTACATACTATCAAAAGGTGACAAAATTCTTAGATGAAGAAAGCAAATATTACTAAAGGGTTTGTAATAAAAATATTTTTTATCTATAATCCTAGCCCAATGTGAAAGCACTAGTTTTCATCCCCAGTACCACCAAAAAATAAAGTAAAAAATTTCTTTCTTGTCCCTAAGAGAAATTACTTCCAAATCTTAGTTATTTTTTCTTAAGCCTGAAATTTTTAGGCTTATGGGACATTAGAGATCATCTCATAAAACCTACTTTATTTCTAACAGTGTAGCAAATGACAGAATTGAAGACTGTTTTTATCAGAATCACACAGCTAGTTAACAGATCTAAGTAATAAAATCCTTATGTCTTGATTGGCTGGACCAGAGTTTTCTGACTTAGAATAAATAATAGTCTCAACTTTACTCTAAGAAATTAATATCTACTCAGCTTCTTTAGGATCCTGTTCTCAAAGACTAGATGTAGTATAGAACAATTTCTCTAGGTTCACTTTTGTACTGCTTCCAAGAAAGTAGGAATATAGAAAACCTTAGTGTTTATTTCCACTACTAATCACAAGAAAACAGGAGACTAATAGCAAAAGTACCCAACAAAAGGTAAATGTGAGATATATTCCAATTGTATGGGTTCGTATATAATACATGGTTCCTTGTTAAAACATGCTGTAGTGATGACATCCCAAAATTAAAATAACATAATTTTTTATTTGAAATTTAAACTGAAGAATCAAAGTAGACATTATAACTCAAATATGTGTAGTAGAGAAGGAAGTATAATGTGAAGGAATATGGAAATGGAGTAAAAAAAACAAGATGAGATCTCAGCTTTTAATTTTGAATGATAAATTTCTTATTTTTGAATGTTTGCCAGTTCTTTTTTTTTCCATCTTGCTTTTTGATTGGTATTTCTTTTTTTTCCCCCCTTTTTATTTGGTTGTTTTATGAGATAGGGTCTTGCTGTGTAGTTCAGGCTGGCTTTGAACTCACTATGCAGCCCAGGTTGACCTTGAATTCACAGCAATCCTCCTGCTTCAGCCTCCCAAGTGCTGGGATTACAGGTGTGTGCTACCATGTCCAGCTTGACTGCTGTTTCTGAAGTGTTTTTTTCTCCCTCAAAAAAGTATTATGGGAACAACTTAGACTATACACTTTTAATTATTAAAGGGTGAAGTTCTCAGTTTTTTTCTGAAATTCATTATTGTACTGCTGATGTCCAATTTTTAGAAAATAGAACAGTAGTAAAGGAGTATAAAACTTTGGCCATTTGTTTATTAAAATTCCTTTAAATAGGCCTGGGATTTAGCTCAGTGGTTTCGCTGCCTGCTGCTCAAGCACAAAGACCTGAGGTTCGATCTCCGGTACCAAAAAAAAAATTCCTTTAAATAAACCTCTGGCCTTATAAAAGAAGGAACACTTTTCAAATTGGCTGTCTAAACTCTTTGCATGTATTTCATCTCTAGCTATTCTTTACTTGTAAAATAATACCAGCCTTGCAAACTCACATGACTGCTGTGGAAAACCTAAGAAAATGCACTAGAAAATACTTTTTAACATCTGAAGTCATATATAAATATTGCATCCTATTAATACGAACTCTTTCAGCTGTTGTTCTAGGAGGCTTAGTGTATCAGCTGTAGCTTTTGTTTCCTCTTCCAGCTGCGTGACAAGCTTTTCAGACTGCTTCTCCTTCTGCTGTGCTATATCTAGTTCTTCCAGTGCTAGCTTCAATTCTTCTGCACAGAGATTCCTCTCTTTAATCACTTCCTCTTGAAAAGAACATAGCTTCTGCTGAAGAGTAGAACATAATTCCTACATCCAAAGAGATAACCATAAAAATAATTTGAAATGGCATTATGAGGTCTTACTAAGAGATTAAAAAACAGAAGTACAGACAATGAAGTAGGAAAAACTAAATTCATGTTTCAAAGAAACATTACAAAATATAGATATATATTCATTTTTTCATTATGGTTTACATCTTAACATGTGGCAAATGTCATTTTAGGCTTTTTTCTAAGCAACACCCACCTTCAAACTTCTTATAAATCAAAAATTTGGAAGGCTAAGGAAGAAGGATTGCCAGTTTGACACTAATCTGGGCAATTTGGAGAGATCCTGCTTCAAAATAAAATAAATCAAGAGGGCTGGGGATATAGCTCCATCCGAAGACCCTTAGTTTAATCCCCAGAACCAGGAAGAAAAACACTTAAAATTTTATTAATCTGTTTTACAATTGGCTTGTATGTACAGTTTAATATACTCTTCTCATGACATAAAAAAGTGTATTAAAACTTCAATATTATAATAAAATATTTTAAAGGTATCTACTACATAATATTTTAAGTTATATAAACACATCATCATTCTGAAACATTTCTAACACTCAAATGAAGTGAATACTTTCTTTACTGCTCACCTTCATCTCAGTTTTTCCTTTCCAGATAACTACTAGTTTGGAATATGTATGCCTTCTGGTCTTTTTCCATATATATTCACTTATAAACATACATACATACATTTTTGAGATATATAATATACTATTTATGTAATGGTCATTTAATAAATCATAAAAATAGTGGAGATCTTTCTAGGTCAGTGTATATTCATCTACTCAATTCCTTTAGTTGCAGGTTGCCCGACACTGTGGTATTTCACATCAGGGCATGTAAATACCTAGGGGGGTCAACCCTTATCAGTGTTTCATATTACCAAATATTTTAACTTTTGCCAATTTTGTAAATAAAATTATTTCCATTTCCTTGACTCCTACTGAATGGAACATTTTATCATGCTTGCAAGCTATCTGACTTTCTTCTACTAATTACCTACCTCCATCCTATGGCCATGGTTTTTTGTGGGCCTTTTTTTTCTCATTGATGTATAAAATGTTCTTTAGTAGTCTGCATTTTAAAATTGTCATGTTTTTCTTCTACTTAGACATTCTTTTGTAGGACAATTGTAAATGTCTACTTTGCCTATATAACATGAAACTGTGATAGGAAATTTGTTGCATCTGCTGTTTTAATTTCTTCTTTTTTTTGTATGCTATTGAGGACTGAACTCAGGGCCTTTGGACTGACCTGTATCTCCAACCCCTTTAGAGACAGATTCTAGCTAGGCTACTTAGGTTGGGCTTGAATTTTCAATTCTTCCTACCTCAGCCACCAGGAGTGTTCAACCTCACAGATGTATACCATCATACCTGGCATAATTTTTCCATATTATTAATAACCCTGTGGTAAACATACTGTAAATATTTGTGGTTAAATCTTCAGCATATTGATGCCTATTATTTACTCAGTATGATTCTAGAATTAGAATTGTTTGGTCAGAGGTGCCACAAAGGTTTTCTGATACACTGAAAAAATGTATGACATACAACAGGTTTTTCTTTTTTTTTGGTACCAGGGATTGAACTCGGGTCCTTGCGCTTGCGAAGCAGGCAGCGAAACCACTGAGCTAAATCCCCAGCCTAAGGTTTTCCTTTTACATTGTAGATAACTACCTTCTCTTGATGGAGAAGTGACTCAATTTGCAATTCTTTTTGTTGTAGTCTTTCATGTTCTTGTTTTTCAAGAATAAGGTTCTCTTTTAAGTTTTGCATCTCGGCATTTATATTTTCATCCCTTTCTCTATTCCTGTTGACAAGGTCTTCTATAAAAGGAAAGTGTTAAAAATACTGTAACTAGACACTAACAGTAACTTTAAAAACCCAGATTCCCACAATATTTCATTAGTACTGCTTCTAGCATGTTACATAGATTGTTTCTGGAGGGGAAAAAAAATGGAAGCTTGTATCATTACCAAATATAACATATATTACATGCTTATAATAAAACCCTTGGGCTGGGGATGTAGCTCAGTGGCGCCACGCCTGCCTGGCAAGTGCAAGGTCCTGAGTTTGATTCCCAGTACCAGAAGAAAAAAGAAAAGAAAAAAAAAAGCCAAAACCAAAAACCCCCCTCAAACTTAATTGGATGTATCTTAATAGTTTTAAATGACTACCCAGTGAGGGGCCGGGGATTTAGCTCTGGTTCCGCCAGCTGCCCTGCAAGCGCAAGGTCCTGAGTTTGATCCCCGGTACCAAAAAACAAAACAAAACAAAAAAACCCAGTGGGGAAGTCACAAACAACTGTTTACTTTCAATCAAGAAAAGCAATGTATTTGGTTGGGAAATAGCATGGTGGTAGAACACTTGCCTAGCATGCATGAGGCCCTGGGTTTGATTTCCAGCACCACACACACACAAACACACACACACACACACACACACAGCAATACTTCGTAAAAATTAAAAAATTCTCAAATATGGAATAAAGTTTCTTGTTATTTACATAATTATGAAAAAGTTGTTTCAACATGGCAGGACTTTTAAATACGATATGCTGCACTTATCTAAAGAAAGTAATTACAAACATCTCAATACCTTTTTCTGTTCCAAGCAGTTGACATTTAGCATTCAGGTCTTCTACTTGTTTAGACAACATAACAACGTTTTCCTCAAAAGTTTGTTTAAGGCTTAAAATTTCTTGATTCTTCTCTTTCAAATTTTCTTCTAAATGAGCAATATCTAGCTTATATTTTTCCACTTGATCTGATTCACAACTGTATTAAAACATATTATTTTGAGGAGCATAGCTCTTTAGGTACAGGGAAAATAACAGCAAAGTGATAAAAATGATATAATCATCAGTGTTACATAAAATAAGGCACAATTTAAGGCCACTATTCATATTACCTAATTTCTTCAATGTATTCTAAGAGCTTTTCTGTTTCAGACTTTTCGTCAATCTTTTCTTTCTCTATTGAAACACTAAAAAAAAAAAAAAAGTTAATGTGTACTAGTTTATTTACTAAATAATCATACATTAATGCTACTGTGTACCAGAAACTGTTGTATTCGGCAGGCTGACTCTAGAGTTCAAACTTTTAGCCATTACGTTATCCTACTTCTCCGGTTATAATTTATATGCAAATATGAGACTAACAATTTTATTTAGTGAAAAAGCTTCCCAAACATATGTGGAAAAAAAATAGCTATGATAATGACAACCAGTATCTATAACAGCCCAAATGTTAGAAATAATCTTACTTTGTAGCTTTACTGGTTTCTTCACCCACCTAAATAGCATGTTGTGTGCCACAGCTGAGATGGAATTACTTTTGTGTTTACCTTTTTCAAATAACCTAATTTAAGAAATAAGCAAGAGACTTAGTTCATAGTAGAAGATATTTAAATGGCCAATAAACATAAGCACATTACACACCCACTAGAAAGGCCAAAATAAACTGACAACAGTTTGCTAGCTGGAGTAGAAATGGTACAAATTAGTTTTCAAAAATGCTATACATGCATTATCCTATGAACCACAAATTCTACTATCAGGTATTTCCCCTAGACGAATGAAAACATATCTGCAAAGACAATGTTTAGTTCTATGAGACATCTGAAGAAGAATTGATACTAATTCTTAAATTATTTCTGCAAATTGAAGAGAAGGGAATTCTCTCAAAGATATTCAACAAGACCAGCATTACCCTGATAACAGAGTCCTGAACTGCTATGCCAGCCTCCTGGGTCCCAGAAAAACTAAGAGCCTCATATGACTGAAGATACCACAAACAAAAGCAATCATTTTAAGAATGGAATTTCCTTTCAAAGTGTGAGGATTCCTCTGGAGCTATGAAACCAAGACTGAGAAAATTAAACAGACCCCAGCCCAAAACAGGACTGCATAAAACTGGCCTCAGTTCTTTTGTGAATGGGACAGTCTGATTCACTTCATCAAAGTGAGCCCCCTCCAGCTGCTCAAGCCAGAGCCCATTCCTCTTTTTTCTTTTTCTCCTTTAAGGCTCTCATCATTTTCTCTTAATTTCCAAAAATTTCTTAAAAAAAGAAGAAACTACCATATGATCCAATAATCCCATTACTCTATATACCCAATGAAAATAAAATCAGTATGCTAAACAGGTATCTGTTCTCTCTCATTCATTGTAGCACTATCCACAAAAGTTAAGAGACAGAAACAACCTAAGTCTCATCAATTGAAGGACTTTAAATTTTCTTTTTGTGGTATGGGGAATCGAACTCAGGACCTCAACACTGAGCTAAAGCCTGGCCTTGTTTTTTTGAGGTAGGGTTTCGCTATATAGTTCAGGCTGTCCTTGAATGCACTATGAAGCCCAGGCTGACCTTGAACTCATGGCAATCCTCCTGCTTCAGCCTCGTAAATCCTAGGATTAGAGGCATGCATCACTATGCCCAGCAAGCGATAGATTTTAAAAACTGGTACATTTATGCAATGGAATGTGATGTAGACATAAAAAAGAATGAAATTCTGTCATTTGCAACATGGATAAAAGTGGAGATCATTATGTGTAATGAAATAAACCAGATATAGAAATACAAATACTGTATGATCTCACTCACATTGGAATTAAAAAATTTTATTTCATAGTAAGTGAGCATGGAATGGTGGTTACCAGAGTCTGGGAAGAGTAGAGGTGAGACTGATGGGCAAACATTGGTCAGTGGGTACTAAGTTACAATTAGATAGGAATAAGAAGTTCTGTTGTGCTACTGTACAATAAGGTGACTAGGTAAACAATTACACACTGTATCCTTTAAAAAGGCAGAAGAAAGGATTCTGAAGGGTTTTTCCACACATGAAGAACTGATAAATGTTTGAAGAAATAAGTATGTTTAAGCTGCTTTAAACACTATACAATGTATACATGTATTAAAACATCACATGGTGCCTCATTAATGTGTACACATTTTATGTTTTTATGTATGAGGTAAATGAAGAAAAGAGAAAATTAGTTACACATTTTATGTTTTTATGTATGAGGTAAATGAAGAAAAGAGAAAATTAGTTACACATTTTACGTTTTTACGTATGAGGTAAATGAAGAAAAGAGAAAATTAGTTACACCTAATTTTTTTTTTTCCTTTTAGTCACTTACAGTTTCCCCTCAAGTTCTGCTATCTTCCCCTGAGACTCTTGGAAATTCCTCTGAGTGACCTGAAGCTTCATCTCCATGCTCTCTTGCTTTGCCATCATACTCTACAGAGGAGAGGGAATCTGTCTTAGCACAGAGAAACTGTTTCTATCCCCAGATCCAGATGCAATACACTTACTCACAGTTGTACTCACCCTCATTTTTGTTTCTCTTTTGTTTTTAAGTTTCATCAATTCCAGGCTTAGAATTCTCATATTCTTTTGGCTACCATCTTCAGAAAACTAAGTCCAACAAACACAAAAAATTCAGAAATCTTTTTTTGCTAAGTCATATATAAAATTACTTAAATACTGATTATCTGTCTGGCATTGTGACTATTATTGCCTGAAGTGTACTTTGGTAGGGAAAACAGCTTTTGATGAACACACTTCCTCATTGTGTACCAGTACTGCTTTTGTCCTTTCTCTTTAATGTGACCTTCTGGTTTATTTCTGAAATGTGTGGGTAGCCATTTTCCTTTATGTTCTAGAAAGGCCATTACAATGAGGCTGTTTTGGAGGGATTTATCGAATGTGTTTGGTTGTTAACAAAATTAATCTTAATTGCCTAGCATGCCTGAAATATGTAGAAGAGTCTACTCCAGGGCTACTAAATCAGAATTTCCCTGAGTGGGATGCAGGAATTTGCTCCTTTTCCCCTGTTTGATTCTAATGCATTTTTACTCTTTTTCTAAGCTAAGACCACATATATATCACAGGCCCTAAATAAGTGCTCTTATAAAATTGCAGAATGATTTATATCCTTTCTCTACTTCTATAACAAGCACAAGAGGACCATGTTAAGTCCTTCGGGATCTATTAGTGCATCAATAATGATAAGTGCTATTTACTGAACAAATTTATTCCATTAATTTATTTCCCAGTTCATTTCCAAAATGATCTGAGATGGAAGCATGATGTTATGTTATTATGTATTTCAGATCTCTAAAGTGACTTTAAAATGTATATTCTGGGATTTTGATTGACAATTATATTTACTGGGGATAATTTTAAGGGGTGAGAAAATGTCTGACATTAAAACAAGAAGTAACCTGTTTATTTATAATCTTTATGTCAGGCAGCCTAATAAAAAAATACATAATTCCTATTTGAATCAGGTTAATATTTAAAGTACATTTAGTGAAGGAAAAGCAGTAAGAGGGCTGGGGAATTAGCTCAGTGGTGCCGCTCCTGCCTTACAAGTGGAAGGTCCTGAGTTTGATCCCCGGTACCAAAAAAAAGAAAAGCACTAAGATGAAGCCAACAATATACAAACAACTGTAATCAGAAAAAAAAGAAAATGGCCACTTTCAATTTTAAGTGTTATCATGAGATTCAGATACCTTAGATTTTAGTAGTTCATTAGTCCTGGTTAATTCAATAAGTTGTTTTTCCAGTGAAGCATTATTTGCAGAGAGGGATGTTTTTTCCCTCACTGCAACACTTAACTTGGCTTCCATCTTCTCCAACTCAGTTTCCATACTCTGGATTTGCTTATCCTGAGCACCACGCTCCTGCACAAGGACACGAATCTGCAAGAAAACATGGCAATTAATACACAAGTCACTGATACAGTGCAAATATAAATAGATGCCACTGGGAATACAAGCATTATGGCTGCTAGAAAAATCACATATTTTAATGTTATCCTCACAGATATTCTTATTCTTGGTCCTAAGCCCACAACTGCCTGTAATCAAATGTAAAGTCTTACTATATCATCAAAAGAATAATGTCTATTAGAAGAAGAGCTGGTCAGTGTAGTGGTTAGGGTGAACTTTCAAGTTGAGCGCCTTTGGGATCTGCCCCAGGGATTGGTGGAGCACACTTTTAGGTGTGACGGGGCGAGTCATGGAGGTGGGGCCTTGGGGTCCATGTCTGCTCTCTCATCTCATCTGCTCTGGACTCTTCCCCAGCTCTGCTTCCTGGCAACCACAAACTGAGCAGCTGACAACCATGATGTTTTTGCCTTGAAGCCAACCAATCACGGATTGAAGCATGAGCAAATTAAACCTCTCTTCCTTTAAGTTATGGGTGTTGGTATTGTATCTCAGATATGAGAAAGCTAACTCCGTCAGTAATGAAAACATGGATAATACTGTCAGAGAAGCAAAGTGGGCAGTGGGTGGTTTAGCACTTTTTCAGGTCAACATCACTTATCAGAAATTTCTAAGAAGTGAAAAAAATCAGACCCCCCAAATTCAAAGACCCAATTCAAAAATGGGCATCTGAAATGAACAGACATTTCTCAGACAAAGAAGTAAAAGCAGCAAATAAACATATGAAAAAATGTTCAACATCACTGGTCATTTGAGATGCAGATGAAAACAACACTGAGATTCCACCTCACCCCAGAAAGTGGCTGCTATCAACAAGTCAACCAATAACAAATCCTGGCAAGGGTGTGGAGAGAAAGGAAGCCTTCTCCGTTGTTGGTGGGAGTGCAGACTGGTGCAACCACTATGGAAAGGAGTGTGGAGATACCTCAAAGAACTAGGGCTGGAGGTCCCATTTGACCCAGCTATTCCCCTGCTGGGTATTTTCCCAAAAGAATTAAAAGAATCATACCACAGCGATATATGTGCATCCATGTTTATAGCGGCACAGTTTGTAATAGCTAAAGCTTGGAAACAGCCCAAGTGCCCATCAACTGGAAACTGGATAAAGAAGATGTGGTTTTTTTTAATAAAATGGAGCACTACTCAGCCATAAAGAACGAGAAACCAGAGTCATTTATAGCTAAATGGATGCATATTGAGGCCATACTTTTAAGTGAAATAAATAGGACACACATGTGTAAATAACAAATAGTTTCTCTAGTGTGAGAAACTGAGAGTGTAAATAAGGATTAAAAGGATTTATAACTAATAAATTGATACTTTGAAATAGGAAAAGGTCCAAAGGGGTAGGGGTGGTGGGAGGAGATGGGGAAAGGAAAGAAGGGAAAGGAAAAATTATGAGAAAAGAAAAGAAAAAAAATGGAAACGAAGTCTATGTCAATAGGGAAGGGTGCACAGGCAATGGGGAAAAAATAAGAACCAAGATACATCATGTTCAGGTACAAGAACCCAATGATAAATGTAAACGTATTGCGTACCTAAAATGTACCAATAAAAGAATTTAAGCAAAAAAAAATAAAAAGACAAAAAAAGAAATTTCTGTCACGGTAGCAATGCACTGTCCAGTATAGTAGCTGCTCATCACATGTGGCTACTGAGCAGTTAAAATGGGATTAATGCAACTGCGGAACTGAATTCTTAATTTTGTTAAGAATTCTTCAGGACCAGCCATATGTGATGAGTGTCTACCATATGGGATACACAGTTCTAGATTATTCCATCTATGAGGAAGGTATATGCTCACTAGGCAGAACAATGGACTGAGTTAGCCTAACTTTATCACAGTCTGACTAGCTTGGTAAGATTACTTGCTCAACAAGCCAATTCTCTAGATTTATTGTCTTTTTTTTTTTGTACCGGGGATCGAACTCGGGTCCTTGTGCTTGCAAGGCAGGCAGCTGAACCACTGAGCTAAATCCCCTGCTAGATTTACTGTCTTAACAGAGATCAGGATATAGGAAGTGTGTTTGCTCTGAGTAAATGTACATATTTGATCTAAATATATAATTTTAATAAACAAATGTACAGATTTTTAGTTATCAGTTTTTAACGAAATGGGTTCTCTTCAATTTGATCCTGGCATGCAAATAAACTTGACTTTACCCACATATCACACTGACAAAGCCTGGATAGGCTCTAAAATACGGAAACCAGGATGAAGAACCACTCTTCAGTAGGCACTAGTAATGGATGGCATGTTTATTTCACTGTAGGATTTCTCAAACTGCAACTGAACTTTCGTTTTTCAACTCTACATAATTCTATTTTCATTATACAGCACATTTATTTTTCAGTAAATTGAAAACATTACTCACCTCTTTTTCTAATCTCTTCAAATCTTTATCATTCTTCTGAGATTCCCTCTGTTTAAGTTAAAGAGCAAATATAAACAAACTTGAGTGCCAAAAATATCACAGCCAATTTTTTAAAGGTATCTGAAAAAACTAAGTGTTCCAAAGATTTAATTTCTATTTTAAACATTGCACTGAGTCTATGAAACATTCTGTAGGTCAATTATCTGTTAAATGAAGAAAAAGTTTCTTAAAATCTCAAAATATTTCAATTTTAAAAGTTTTTAACCCAACAAATCAATAGCTTTCCATAAACCCAGTGACAAGAATAGGAAGAGGTTTGTGGATAAAGCTACTAACTACTTCTTTTCTAATATTAAATAGCAACACATTTTGAGTATTTAATTATGCTGTCTCAAAAGTATAATCTTTTAAGCCAGGCATGGTGACACACCCTGTGGTCCCAACACTTGGGAGGCTAGGCAGGAGGATCTCCTGGGCTACATAATGAGCTCAAGGCAAGGGTGCACTACAAAGGGAGGCCCTGTCTCAAGAAAAAAGGGGCAGTGGATTTTAGTTCAGTGGTGCCGCCACCTCGCAAGCTCAAGGTCCCCGTAAGCCCCCCACACACACACCACAAAGCACAATCTTTTAAAGAGAAAGCAACTTAAACTTCAATATTGAAAGAGAAAAATACACAGTTCCAAAGAAATAAGGAAAAACTGAAACAGTTCAAGCTTTTATTCTAATTTTCTTATTGCTTGAATTCTAAGTGAGACATAATTTTCACACTGTATCTTTTTATATCGAACAGAGACATACTGGCTAGAAACAGAGAGTCTATCTTTACCATCTAAATATGGAAGAAAATGCAAAAACATCCTGAATGAAATCTGTTTTACATGTTTCTAACTGGAGGGGAAGGAACACCGATCTTACGTTTATTAATTTTAAAACTGATGGCATTTTCTGTTAGGGAAAGTATATTATTTGGGGGCTATACACATACTTGCATGTAATTGAGTTTATTGTGAGAGTTTGTGAATTCTATAATTAACCCCGAATTCCAGAACTGTTTCTCCAGGAAATTCAAAGCAAGCCATTTATATCCATTTCTAAGGGTGTCTATATCAGTCCTGGCCAATAAAAATTCAATGTCAAAAAAAAAAAAAATTCAATGTCAGCCATGGAATTTTCTAATAGCCATATTTAAAAAGTAAAATGTTTTATATTTTTTATTTTTACTTATTTCAACATGTCATTGTTGTAAAATTATTAAGCTGTTTTATATTTATACAAAATTTCCTACACTGTGTTTTGTATTTATAACACACCTCAATTTAGATGCAAAGTTTTCATCAGAAATATCCTGCTATATTTATATTCATAAAGCATACAGCAGAGCTTTACACACCCAAGTTGTTCTAAAAACACTGAAGTTTTCCACTAACAGAACTGAGTATGTTTTAAAGTATATATTAATTAAAATTAAATATTAAAAATTTAGTTGTCAGTAGCACTAGCCACATTTCACATGTTCAGTAGTCACTTGCAGCTAATCATTTCTTTTCTTTTCCTTTTTTTTTTTTTGGTACCAGGGATAGAACTTGGGTCCTTGTGCTTACGCAGCAGACAGTGAAACCAGTGAGCTAAATCCCCAGCCCATTTCTTTCTCTTGTTTTTGTTACTGGAGATCGAACTCGGGACCTTGTGCTTGTGAGGCAGGCGATGAAACCACTGAGCTAAATCCCAGATAATTTTAATTCTCAAGAGCATTTCTTTTCTTTTTTTTTTTTTGGTACCAGGGATCGAACTCAGGTCCTTGCGCTTGTGCAGCAGGCAGCAGGTGGCGAAACCACTGAGCTAAATCCCCAGCCCCTAGTCATTTCTATATTGGACAACAGAGCTCTCTATTACAAACAACTATTTAGTAATTGTCATGTGAATAAACAGCCAGAGCTTAACTTATAGCTTTGGATTCCCAAGTGAATCTTTGTCTTATGAAAAATATCAATTTGTTCAACTCCTTAAGAAAGTAGTTTCCCTCTTATGAACTTATGAAAACATCAATAAGTGTAGGCTAAATACCAGACTATTAACCTCCCATGACTCCTTAACAGTTTCTGTGTAGCAATCTTATACTTTAGGCATTAGTAGTTTTCCTTTTTCTTCACCAGTACTTACCCTTACCCACAATCAAAACAAAAATAAAAAGGCCCGGGGATTTAGCTCAGTGGTTCCGGCGCCTGCCTCGCAAGAGCAAGGTCCGCAGTTCCATCCCCGGCACACACACAAAAAAACAAAACAAAAATAAAATAAGTCAAATTGTAGCAAATCAAAGCATCATGTAATTTGCAAAGGCTTCCAAGGTAATGTAAAATTTATTGAGATAAAGAAGTGGAGACCATTGTGATTGTGAACAAGGGCACACTTAAACACAATAAATTTATGTATTTATTTATTTTTTTCCCAGTACCAGGGATCAAACTGAGGACCTTGTGCTTGCCAGGCAGGTGCAGCGCCACTGAGCTACATCCCTGACCCGAAACACCATAAATTTATAATGATCTAGGTAGAATGTAAAATTCGGTACAGTCCTGACAATACCTCCTTCCATTAATTTATAGATTTATCTGTACGTTTGGTTTATATACTTAACCCATTCGAATCAAATACAGATATATTTTCAGTGATATGACTGATAAATTAGCTGAGATGTAAAAGCTCCTCACCTTTAACTCGAAAGCCTTAGCTTTCTTAGCTGAAGCAGGCAAGGTAGTATCTTTGTCAACATTAAGATTTTGTTGAGATTCTGCAGGAAAATAAATTGTATCAATGATGATTGTTGAATGCTTTAACCAAACCCAAAGCACAATTTCTAAATTTCTTATTTCAGTTATTAATGAAACAATAAGTTATTCTTTTCCTGACTGTATATTTCCAAATAACTGCACAGTATTTTCACATAGCTAATATCTTTCTGATTTTCCTAATATTCCTGACAGATAAGCTAAGGTAATTACCAAAAGGGAAACTAGATACTTATGTCAATGTCTTGCTTAATTTTCCCAGTTACACTCAGTGTAATGATGAAAGCATTATTCTGTACTTGATTCTTTCATAAATCCATCAAAGAAAGCTTAAATACATTTCTAGCTTTACATCTTTAGAAATGCCAACAGCAATTTAAAACTTAAGTACTGTTCTTTATAACTCTAAAAGTTACAAGATCACATAACTTGTTTTATTTAGACATCCATTACCTTTTTGTTTTTTAAATCTTTGTGATTTCTGAAAGGATACTGGTCCTTTAGACACCTCTGATGTGTTAACATCATAAGCACCTGGAGATGGAGCACAACCTAGAGAAAACATAAAACTTCATAAATCCTGCAGTGTTATTTAGATCTTTAGTTAAATGCACATCATGATAAAGTGAACAGAAATGTAAAAATGCCATTAATGATGTGCTTGTTTCTTCAAGCTATAAAAATAGCATCAATGTGATAGTATAAAGAAAATCTCTCTATGAAGAACAACAGTATTGTCTTGTCCTTTGTATCACTTGGGTCATAGGAACACAGACAACTGAGCAAAATTGTAAGAACTCTTTGGGGTGAAAGTCATGTAACAATAAGTAATAATACTATGTTATTAAAGACTGAATATAAGATATAAATATTGGTGTCAATCATGTTTCTAGGAATCACAAAATGGCCTAGATTTTTATAGTTCAATCCATTTCTGGCTACTATCAATGTACCTACTGATGATGCCAACTGCAACTTGAATGCAGAGCAGAAAAGCAATCACTAAATACAACTAGAATTTCTTGAAACTTACTAAATCCTAGGTACTATGCTATGCATTATATAGGTATTTTATTTAATCTTCACACACACAAAAAACCCTATTTAACTTTGGAAAGTTACAAAGCCATATTGTGCAAAGTACAAACTATATCAGATTGTATTTCTAAATTTCAGAAGTTAATACTGTGTAACCTAACTGGAACCTCATATTTGAAAGCATTGGAGTTTATACATAGCAGATTTGACATACACACAAGTAGATTATATATCTATCTGAGGATTGAACCCAGGGGCTTCACACTGAGCTACATTCCCAGCTCTCTTTAAAAACTGTTTTTTATTTTGAGACAAAGCTGTGCTAAGTCACTAAGTTACAAAGGCTGGGCTCAACTTTTGACCCTCTTGCCTCAGCCTCCCAGAGATGAGATTGGAGACATGTGCTAACATGCCCAGCTTTCACTAGATCTTAACTAGCATTTACAATAAAGTTAAACACAATAGGAAATACAGTATGACTCACATGTAGCAAGGTTAGAGATTATTTTAAAGAACTTTTGTTTCAGTTGTATGTTTAAAAATATAAAAATACATCAGAGGTAGAGATGTGATATTTGTACATCACTGGGATATAGTTTTAAAAGTATTAAAGTTATTGCTTCCACCAATTGGAAGTAGACTTTAAGACTTTATTAAGGATAAATTTAAGTTTCACTCCTCTATCGGGAATAATAATTCATATGTACCTACACACAGATTCCAATCTTGACTGCTTTCAGATCTGAATGCAGTCAATAGAGTAGAGGTAGTAGATTTCCAATAAGGAAGTTTCAAAACGAAGTGTACAATTCACTGCTATAAGGTAAAGGCAGGCTTTGCAAATAGTATTGATATTAGCCAATTCAGATTTCCTACGTCTTATAAACTACACCTGGAGTGAATGAGGTGTCAGGATTCCTCAAATCAGCCTACAGTATATGTGGCACACCTTGCAGCACTTATTTTATTCACTTGAAGTAGAAGGTGACAAGGAATACATTGTATTTTAAAGAAAACTGCTACTACTTGGCAGGCCCTTTTTTGGTGAAGTGGAAATGAGGTTATTCTTCTTTGCTCTCTATTAGAGAAGCATCTGTGAAAAGCACTGCTCTAGACTTAGCATACCTCCAGAAAAAATAACAAATAAAAATAAAACTCACAATACATTGAATTCTAGTATTACAGTCCATTATCGGGTCCACAGATTCAAGGAAAATAAAGGCCTGTGGTCAGTGATTAAGCAGCATCACAGAAGTTGAGAACATGTAAAACTATACTTAGTAATCTCTTCTAATGACTCTGAAGTGACAAATTTGACAGTTATGGGGATCTGGATTCAAGATGATCTCGCTTCAGCTGAACTTCGGTCAACTACACTTACCAACTCTATGAAAGACCGTGGCACGTTATTTTCAGGCTTAGGTATTTCTCTTATCAACACTTAAACACTACATCATAGAGTGATTTGTTAGAAATCTGGAGAGCTTAGACAAAAAGAAAGGGCTACCTGGGGAGCTCATAAGCTTTCTGAAATAATTTATATCTTCATCAACAATCACCTCAAACTACCTGAGGGAGACAACACGTGTATGCAAACAAAACACAATATGGATTACAGTTAATGAACTTCAAACTTCCAGACTTGTTTTCTATTTTTCCATTTAGTACTGACAGCCCATCTTCCATTTTACTTGGCTAACTTTCAATATTTATTCTCCAGATCTCAGTCTGGGTGTCACTTCTAGTTCTCTGAATCCCCAAATCAGGCTAGAAAATTCCCACCTGAGCCACCTGATATTGTTTCTATCATAGAACTTGTCATAGTTCTGTAATCATCTATTCACTTAAAGAAAATATAGAAAGTGTGTTAGGGATTTGGGAATGGAACGGGGTTTTATAATCAGACAGACGAGAGTTCAAATCTCACCTACGTTTGACAATCTTCGGAAAACACTGTGCCACAAACTTTGTAGCCATGGGGAGGTCACAGTGAATAAGAACAATATATACTCCGTTTCCCAGTCAAAATTCAAGTCTCCTGGGAATTTCTATTTGAGATTCAGGTCCTTCATTCAAGAAACAGGAATAAAAAATAGTACCCATGTCTCAGTATAGCGGTGGGGATTACTAGAATAATGACAAATCATCAGCACTTCACACATACTAAGCACAAGTAAACAACTGTTATTGTTCCCAAAACTGTGAGTGTGAATTACTGTACCATTTGCTAAAGTTAATCTATTATAATACCCCCCCAAAAAATTTAAAGCCAAAACAAAAATAATACTCTAAAATCATACTGCCAACAGAACTCTGAATACCTAGGAAATAATATGATCCTTGAGTCCTTTAATGAAGGAAATAAGCTACTCACTCACTAGACATCCCTTTGTGAGCATGGAGGTTCAAATTTCCATTCCTATGTTGGCTGATAGGAATTGTAGATGTAATCAGTTACCAGTAAATAGTGCATATTATAATGAATAAATTAAGGGCTTTGATGTTCAGTTTTACCACTCACTGGCTGTTCAATACGGTCATAAGACCTCTCAGTTTCTCATCTGTAAAATGAGTAGTTTCTGTACTGTCACTGATACTGGTTGTTAGAATAAAAAAGACTAGTAAGGAGGGCTTTAGCACAACCCCAGCACAAAGTTAGCAGGTAATAACTGATGAGAGCCCACCCAAAACATCTGTGGCTTCCTGGTTATTGCACATATGCACTGAAGAGGTTAAAAGCACAGAATGGATTCATGGAGGCCTGGGTTCATAACCTTCTTCTGCCAGTTTGGTCGTGTATCACTGAGTAAATTTCAGTCCCAATAATTAATTTCCTTCTTACTTTTGAAAAAAAATTAAATTTATTTTTAATAAAAATTGCACATATTAGGGAGTTCCACGTGACGTTCTGATACATACGTATACTGTGTAATGTTTGTTTGTTTTTTGGTACCAGGGATTGAACTCGGGTCTTTGCACTTGCGAGGCAGGCGGCAGAGCCACTGAGCTAAATCCCCGGCCCTATACTGTGTAATGTTTAAATCAGGTTTAACATATTTCTCTCCTCAAATTCTTATGTCTTTATGGTGAAAACATTCAAAATTCTTTCGTCTAGCTTTTTGGAATATATAGTATATTTTAGTCATCCATAGTTAACCTACTGTACAAGAGCAAACCAAATTCCATCATTTTTCTCAATAAACAATAGGATTACTTCAAACTTGAGAGGTTTTGTTTGTTTTTTGAGACAGGGTCTCCTTATGTAGTTCAGAATGGTCTTGAACTCACTGTGTAGTGCGCGGTGGGGTGGGGCTCCTACTCGCTGCGGTCCTCCTGCCTCAGCTTCCCGAGTCCTGGGATTACAGGCATGCATCATCACGCCTGACTAGTTGGGAGATTTTTAAAAAACTAAAAATCGGTGTAGATTTAGTAGGTTACCTGGGATCTACAATAAGTGGCTGATAGCTGTTACTGTTTGAATTATAGCGTTTTTAAAAAGTGCTGCCATCTGACATTCACATACTGTTTCACATCCTAATCCTTTCTGTGCTCGAATATCCAAAGGAAATCTACAAATTCTGACGAAAAGTTGCAAACTTTTTTAAAATTAGCGTTCCCGGCCAAGACTTGACTTTCAAATAGCTACCAATACCTCTCATCTCCTTTCCCCTTTACCTTGCTATGGTTTCTCCCCTGCTCTGGTTGTTTCCTGATAGTACTGGATTCCCTGCTTGAATGTAAGGTCTGTGGCGCAGGGACTCGGTTTCACTCATTGCGTAGTGCTTAGCTTGTGTTAGATAATTAATATGTATTGAAGAAAAAGAAATCAAATGAAAGAACCCCATTCCAGCCCTAAAAATCGGCCTTACGCTCGAACCCACGAAGAGAACCCAGAGAAGCGGGGGGAATCTGCGTGTGGCCCCCACACCCGACCCCATTCCCCTTACGCACCGGAAGGGTCATTGAATCTTTTCAGCGGCGCCTTAGGAAAGGACATGCTGACAGCCACGTCCAGAAACCTAAATCACTTAGCACTCCTCAGCAATTGCGGAGAATTACTCGTTTGAATTCAAATCTACGGGCATATCCCCCGCCTACCCCACATCAGCCAATTGGAAAACCCAAAAGCCTGCGGCTGACCAATCCCGCAAGGAACTCTAAAGGAACATGCGCAATTGGGTTCTCAGCGAGTCCAGTGAGAAAGCTTGTCAATGTATGCCACCAGCCAATCGAAGACAGCAGCTCTTTTCTACTTCCTCGCCCAATTACATCTGCTGTTACTCAAGTGTGACCTACGCACTAGCAGCATTTGCGCAAGCGCCCTTCACAAGCGGAAGCTGCATTTTGGCGTCCTAGGTGAGAGGGTCAAAAGTTTTCTACCACACTCGTTCCAGTCCTCTCCTACCTATCTTTAAGTGCCACCCTTTCTGGATTTTAGTTCTTTCAGACTGGTCCTGCCAGTGGCTTTCTAAATGCCGCTTGAAAGGGGAAAAACGACCACTCCGGGAAGCCCCGGCTTGGGCTTCTGCGCATGTGCAGCGCCCGCCGCAGATGAGCCTCCGGGGCGTTCGGCGCGTGCGCGGTGTTCGGCGCGTGCGCTCCGCTCGCTCTGCGAGGCTGCTGCGGCGCGGGCGGCCGGCTGCAGCATGTCAGCCCCGTTTGAGGAGCGCAGTGGGGTGGTCCCGTGTGGGACGCCGTGGGGCCAGTGGTACCAGACCCTGGAGGAGGTGTTCATTGAAGTTCAGGTGCCGCCAGGCACGCGCGCGCAGGACATCCAGTGCGGCCTGCAGAGCCGGCACGTGGCGCTGGCCGTGGGTGGCCGTGAGATCCTGAAGGTTAGCGGCAGGTCTGGGCTCGCGTCAGTTTCCTCCTCTCGATCTCCGCCCATCCCCACTCTTGAAGTTCGTTGTTCCCGAGGAATAACGGGCAGCACTGGTCCTCTGAGTAGCAGAAAGAGAAAAGTAAAATTGGCCTGGTTTTGGTCCAATGGAAGAAGCATCATGCTCGGGGCAAATCCTGAGTTGTGAGATTTCCAGAGCTCATTTTTCTGTTTTATTTCCAGAATAAATTAGGTTGCCGTTTCTGGTTCGTTTGGGGATCCTCTACTTAGGACAGGTTAATTAGGCTGTTGAACAAATATTTACGGTATGTATGCTTTCTTCGAGGCACTGAACTGGATGCCGAGGGTACCAAGGTCCCCTGCATCGAAGAGGTTACCTTCACAATATGTAGGCAGGTGTACGAAAGCATAGAAGGGATAGAGTGGTAGGATGAAGATTTAGATGTCAGGGAATTTATCTTTCTCATCTAGAATTATATGAACCCTACATGTTTTGTGGAGCGGTCAAGCTGATGGCGAAAAGGTGTGTGAAGAAAATAATTTGTACCCCTTTTCAAACCAGTGTCGTTTATATCTTGGACCCACTTTTTTTTTCTGAAGCCTAGAGTTCAGTTAATAATTTGAAATTAGATTTCATTCTCAAATCAGATTATCAATGTATCTGATGGCCCTGTAGTGTAGTGATGGAGGGAGACCAGTTGAAACAATACCGGGTTTTGCCAGTTTTGTAGTTTTGTGACCTCAGGCAATAGGTTATTTCTGTGTCTAAACCTTTTAATCAGAATCCTATAGTCCTTTCTCATATGACTGTTTTGAATGTAACGTGGCATCCGGGTGATTGAATAGCATGAAGTAGCATCTGGTATGTTAAAACCTCACCCTGTGTTTTAGCTACTGTTATGTTATCCGTAGAAGATTCCTGCCAAAGGCATTGATTTGTGTCCTTTTAGATCTTAATTACCTTTCTGAAAGCTGTACAATCCAGTTTTCCTGAATAATGAAGATTACAAATCAGATTTAATAATTCTACATACTGTAAGTTAACCAGTAATTCTGGGATGTTAGATATACATACAGACCACTTTTTTTTTTTTTTTTAGGACTTTTTCCACTGGTATTGACATACTTTAAAATGTGGGGGCTTTTTTGAGTCACGGTCTCACTATGTATTTCAGGCTGACCTTGAACTCACTATGTAGACCAGGCTGACCTCTAACTCACGGTGATCCTCCTGCCTCAGCCTCCCAAGTCCTGGAATTATAGGAGTGTGCCACCACACCCAACAAGGCAAAAAAATGTGGTTTTAAAAAAATTAGTTTCCTGTACTTAAGTTTGGCAACAAATTGAAATGGATTTAATCTTCCAAACTGTCTTAAATTTATATTTTACTTTTTTCTTAAAACAAGAGTTTGTGAAAATTCAGACACAGCTAATCAGACATCATATCTACAATACATGCTTTGTTTTTCTGAATGCCAATTGGCCAACTAAGAGATTGACCCAGTTTTTTAAAGATTAAAAGGCCCATTTCTTAGTTTTAGCAGGAGAATCCCTTCTTGTAGTTTTAATTTGATAAAGCATTCCATATGGACAATCAATGGTCAGTAGTATTTCTTCATCTTTTAAAAATTAAGGAGCCTGGTTTGTCTCTAGAGTCTTGTGTTGTTTGTCAGTAAATATTTCAAGTCTTGTAACTTAGGTTCCATTTCACCTGATAAGAGGAAACAAAGTTGAGCACTTCTGAGTGTGCTGCAGTGGTTTAAGGTGTGACGTAATGCACTATAAAATCTTATAAAACCTAATGAAATGCTATAATTTTTAGTTCTTCATGTGTTTATTTTTCAGGGCAAACTCTTTGATTCTACAATAGCTGATGAGGGAACATGGACTTTGGGTAGGCGTACTCTATTATAATTCATAGAATCTTTTTAAAAATTAATTTTGTGTTGGAACTTAGTACAGTATCTTCTTTGAAGTTCTTTTGTTTTTGTAGCTTTGGAAGATTGAAAAATGTGTTGTAATTAATTGTAGGTCAAGATTACCTAATGGTTTTTGAGAAATATGAAATGTAGGGATAAACTCTGATTTCGTAATAATTTTTTTCTTTAGAGGATAGAAAAATGGTCCGCATTGTTCTTACTAAGACAAAGAGAGATGCAGCAAACTGCTGGACTTCTCTTCTAGAATCTGAATATGCTGCTGATCCTTGGGTGCAGGACCAAATGCAGAGAAAACTTACACTGGAGAGGTTCCAGAAAGAAGTAAGTTAAGTGATTATATGAATATGTGGAAATGTTTAAAAATCATAGGATACTACTTAAAAATAAAACTCAAATGCATCATGAAAAATAATAAAAATTCTTTACATGAATTTTTGAAGTAAATGGTTAGAAAAATGGCCTATCTGTGCTTTGATTTTTTTTTTTTCCTTAGTATTCTTGAGAGAAATTTTGTATTGCTGTGATTTTTTTGAGTCAGGATCTCAGTGTCTCACTAGTTCAGGTTGGCCTTGAACGCAGTAGATAGCCCAGGCTGGCGTCAAACTCCTGTGATCCTCCTGCCTCAGCCTCCTGAGTGCTGGGAATACAAGTGTGTACCACCATGCCCAAGAGTATTGCTGTGATTTTGAATTTACGTTTACTAAATGTATATCAATAATTCATGAATAGCAAACTTTTTTATGAATAGTAAATGCTCTAAAAATAATTACTAGTGTAAAAAAGTGAAAGATCCTCCATCATTATTCTCCCTTTTCATGCCTGCCTCATTCTCATATTATCTATTGGCCTCTTTGGTTTGTTTATAACATAAATGGAGGCTGACAGTGTGTTTATTGTTTTTCATTTAATAGTGTGCCTTGGGTCTTTTTTGCCAGCTAGTACATACAAAAAAAAAAAAACCAACTCATACCTTTTAATGGCTTCAGAGTGTTTTCTAGTTTGGATGTATCATAATTTATTTATTTATTTAATTTGGATACTGGGGATTGAACTCCGTCCTTGTGCTTGCGCAGCAGGCAGTGAAACCACTGAGCTAAATCCGCGGCCCTGTCTTTAATATGATTTTGATTTCTCATTTTTCTGTATTATAAACAAGGTTGTGCCTTCATCTCTGTGAGACTACTTATGTTCCAAGATAGGTATCTACAAGAGGAGTTACTAAATCAAAGCACTTTTAAGATTTCAGTGGATAATTTCCATCTATATTATTATGCTTTCCAAATATATATATTTGGCCTAGACTTTTCTCTTAAATTTTGAATTTGCAAATTCAGTTGCCTGTTCAGTATTCATTTGGCTATAGAACACACATACAAAACTTAACATGTCCAACTGAAGCAATCGAATTTCCCTTCCACATTTATTCTACTTCTAGCCTTCCCATCTGAGTTAATGGAAACTAATTGCTTAGGTCAAAATGGAATAAAGAAAGGGAACCATCTTTGATTCCTACCTCTGTCTCACACCCTATCTAATTTGTTAGGAAGTTGTATTCGTGCTGTCTTCCAGCTGTATTGAGAATTTGACCACCTTTCACTACCAACTCTGCTTCCATTCTGATCTAGACCACTTCAGTTGTCTTGGTTGGATTACTTCAGTAACTTTCTAAAAGGTCTTCTACCATTACCCATTTACAATCTTCTCAAAATATAGAAGTTTTTTTGAAATTAAAATGCAAGTCAGATCATGCCACTTCTCAGAACTTCGAAAGTTGTTCTTAATGGACCAGTGTATTAAGTTTGGTGGTTTTTAAACATGCTTGTTCCTTTGATGGGAAAGTATACTTTTGAGGGGAGGATATGAACCAGGGGGTTCACTCTGAGCTAATATGTAGCTCTTTTTATTTTTTATTTATTTATTTTTTGTTGTTCTTTTTTTTGGTACTGGGGATCGAACTTGGGACTTGGTGCTTGTGCGGCAGGCGCCAGAACCACTGAGCTAAATCCCCGGCCTTTATTTTTTATTTTGAGACAGTGTCTTGCTAAGTTGCCCAGGCTGGACTTGAACATTCAACATACTAGATCAGGCATTGGCAAACTATGGCTTATATGTCAAACTCAGCCCACTTCCTATTTTTGTAACTAGAGTTTTACCAGGCCACATCTGAGCTCATTCATACAGCAGTTACATATAGTTGAATATTTGTGACAGAGACTATTTGGTCTGCAGAAACGTATTACCTACCTGGATTTTTTTCGGAAAAAATAACCCCTGATGTTAGTAATTTATGGTTTATTATTTCTTTTCCGACTACACTGTAAGCTCTGCTAGAGCGGAGATCTTTGTTTTTCTAATTTTTAACCTTTGCATTCCTTTTATGGTATCTTAAAGACAGAAGGAGGTCAGTAAGTCTTTATTAAATAATTGAGATTGCCCACTGAAAAGACTTTTTATTTGAGACAAGGTCTTGCTATCTCCTGTCGGTCAGGCTGGCCTTGTACTTACTGTATAGCCCAGGCTAGCCTTGAACTCAAAGCAATCCTCCTGCCTCCTGAGTGCTGGGATTGTTACAGGTATTCCCTACTATACCTACTATACCCAGCAGAAAAGACATTTGTAAAGTCTGAGATACTGCTTACTTTATGGAATTATTATGGAATTATTGCAAGGGTTAAATGTGTATGTAGAGCTCATAAAACCCTGTGTGGCATATAATAAGCTCTCAAAAAATGTTAC